AAGGCATCTGATTTGGGACAAGGATGACAAAATAGATTTTTTGGTGTTTCCCACTTTGCCCTGAATACAAAGGGACTGATGATTGCTTTGTTCCTTTTAGGACCTACCCAACCCTTGATAGAGAAAGAAAATTCCTGTCTGGAACCTCTCCTCCTTTCTGAAAGAAGTAACCTTTAATCCTCCATCACCCAATGAGGTGAGAAAGCATAAGTGATATCATGCCAGATATTTTTGCTTTGTTTGCTAATCATCAATTTTCCTCATTCATCTTCAGTGACTGCCTGTTAAACAACTGTAGTTAACACTAGTAAGAACATGGCTTTAAGTTGACAGTATCTGCCAACATTTAAAATGCTTCTACCCTTTGAACCAGGAATTCCATTTTAAAGAGTTATTTAACAGATACACTGACAGATGTGGAAAATAACATATTTATAAAAATAATCATGGCAGCATTGTTTGCAATGTTCAGAGAGTGAAAACAACCTGAAAGTTCACCAGAAGATGGATGAAATAAATTACTGTACATCTGCACAAGTAAATGGGATGTAACTTTAAAGTCCAGTTCCAGTCCCTGTCATGAGCCCCAGCACTCTGAAGTTTTCCAGTTTTTCATTCATCTGCTTAAATCGTTGCTATATAAAGAAGGTACATCTATATATATAAAAGCCTAAGCAACCATTATGACTGGTCACCATGACATGCACTAACCACCAGGGGGCAGACACTCAACACAGGAGATGCCCCCTGGTGGTCAATGTGCTCCCACAGCCAACCTCTCTTGGCCAGCTAACCTCCTGTGGTCCCTACCCCTGGCTGGCTGGCCTCAATCGGCCCTGATCACCAGCCAGGCTGAGGAACCCCACCTGTGCATGAATTCATGCACTGGTTCTCTAGTAGTCCATAAGCGACTGAAGAGTTGGGTGCTTTCCCTTCTGTTCTTATTAGTAGCGACACAAAATTATTTACACAGATGGGAGAAGGAAATAAGGAATCCTGACTAATTCTGGACCATCTCCAAATAGCTCAGTGGTCATCTTAACAGCCCGTTTTCTAGATTTATAGGATGTACTAGTGCCTCTTGGGTATATTAAACATACCAGGTCAACAGGAGTCCCACATCACTCCTCTAATGGCTAGAGTTTACAACCATTTGTTCACAATGCATATAAATGGTTAGTGAGCCCTGGCCAGTGTGGCTCAGTTGGTGGGTGTCGTCTTATGCTCGGTTAAGGCATATGCCCAGGGTGCAGGCTCAACACCCATTGGGGATCATGTAGGAGGCAGCTGATTGATGTTAGGCTCTCAGATAGATGTTATGCTCTCATCAATGTTTTCTCTCTCTCTCCCCCTCCCTTCCTCTTTCTCTAAAAATTAATAAACTATTCTTTGGAATAATAATGGTTAAAGTGAGTATTTTCATCTATTTCTTGTGAGTCCTTTAACCACGGGGTCTAAGGAACTCCTGGATATAACAAAATGGAAGAACACCATTTCATCCAACTGTGGACATGCTGAAAAGGGAGTCAACCAGGTGGTTAGGAATAAGTCTATGGTGGTGGGTAGGATGTGATCATAAAACACTGAGGCACAAAGGTTAAACTGTATAAGGGTCAACAAGTGTGGTAGAAAACAACATAAAAGCTTCTTACACCTACCTTTCTTCTGCACTTTATCTCAGTGTATTATTAACTTACTTGCCTCCCTCACTACATTGTGCGCAACTTGATTCAGGGTGGACATTCTTGTATCTTAATTACCAAGAACAGTGCCTAAAGATCACGGGCACTTTGTATTCAATTCTTCAAAATGAAGAATTTGAAGAATTCTTCAAATTGAATTCAAAACCATAAGTTTGAAAACAAATTGTTAAGACAGTAGTTCTTACAATTTTCTGATGTACACTAGGGATTCTTTCCATACAAGAAATGCGCAAAGCTAGGTACAAAAAATCTCAATATACTTTCAGGGCAATTGTGGACATCTGCTCTCTCTCCCCTTTCATAAATCTTCTAGGGAACCATAGATGTTCTAGAGAGATTAAGAAATTCCTAGGCCCTAATCGGTTTGGCTCAATGGATAGAATGTCGGCCTGCGGACTGAAAGGTCCCATCCCAGGTTCAATTCCGGTCAAGGGCATGTATCTTGGTGAAGAAATTTCTAGGTTTAGCCCTGGCTGGGTAGCTCAGTTGGTTAGAGCATCATCCTGGTACTACAAGGTTGCAGGATCTGCATAAATAAGTAGAACAAGAAGTCTGTTTCTCTCTTCCTCAAATCAATCAATAAATAAAAAGAATAAAATACAAATATATTTTTAAATTTTTTGTTTTGTTTTTTACGAAAAGCACGTTTCTTTCATCTAGCTCACACAAACTCTTCCAGTACACCAAGGAAAAGGGCCTCTTCTTGTACAGAGTGTAAAAAAGAACCTATCTATGTAGCTTTAGATTCACTTATATTTTGCAATATTATAGAAAAAATGATCCCTTATAGCAAAAGGTTAAAGTAGGTATGTTTCTTTAAAAATATTTACGAACTATTCACTGTGAGTCAAGGGCTGTAGGATAGAACCAATGACTCAAAGAATCACAATATGGTGCAGAGCACACATAGGAAACTGGGTGTCTGAGTTTCGTTTTTGCCTCTGAGTGTGTGAAGATAGTGGTGGGTGCAATGGACAGGGCAACTGTAAATGCTGGAAAGGAAGAAAATAAACCTTTTTTCTTTCTGTGGAGCCTTTGGCTTTATTATGGTCATATACAACTCTTACCCTCCCACCCTGTTATCTGATTACTCACAGGAAGACGGATAACCTGCAGATAAGCAGTCACTGATTATAGACGAGGAGTAAGCAATGCTTAAACAATAAATGCTTGAACCATATCCCTGCGTTACAAGGGAGCCGCAGCCATCTAAATGCCATTTCTAAGATCCAGCATGTAACTATTTCACCTGAGTGAAATATTACAAATTTGATGATTATTACAAATTTGTTGCACCTTAAACTTATCTTAAAGCTGACCTGGTACGAATGTGTACTCAAAGAAGGAATCCCCTTTGTAACACTCCCGGCAGCCACAGGCTTTGTTTGGATACTCATTAGCTTTAGCAAAATGTGTTTGAAATCCACAATAATGATTAGAAACCGCTTCCTCACACTGAAATGAAGTCTCCTTACAGTTTCTAACCATTCCTCTAAGCTTTGGCTTCTGCAGCAATGCAGAATCATCCTATTCCTTCTCCCATACCATTCAAGGATTTGAAAACATTTCTGAATTCATCTCCAGCCGGGACTTCCCTAATTCTCTCACGTATTTCTCTTGAGAAGTTCAAGGTCACCACCCTCCTGTTCTTACTCTCCCAAGCACTGTAATACTTGGCCATCGTCTGCTTAAAACCCGACACCTAGAACAGAACATGATATTCTAGCTGTGATTGATCTTACTTCACCAGGGTCCAGAGGGCTTATTCTTTTGATCTAGGTACACCCTTCCATCATACACTCTTATTACGTTTTCATTCTCTCCTGTTACCCTGCCCGCATGTGCTGTACTGAGGGCTTATATAGGAATTTGGTCAAATAACACTGCCAGGTCTTCTTCTGAGTGCCACTATCAAGTCAGGTTCCCCTCCTTTTACCTTGGCAACAGAATGTGTCCAACTTCATCTCAAATTGGTCCCAGCACTAAAATAATTTAAATCTTAATGATGTCATATTTAAACATTCCT